AAAAAGAGGTTATTTTGTTTATAGTCTACAATAGCACCATATTGAAGGAAAAAATCTCTACCTAGAATTCCGTGAACTGAAATGGGAAAATCTTCAGGTACCAAATGAAATGGATGCTGAATTAATGTGTTCTGAATTTGAATTTTACCTATCGAAATGCCAATAGAAGAAATCACCTTTGGAGTTATTCCTTTTAACGCAATTTTATTATCAGTATAAACTAAGGTATCATGATCTATTTTTAGAAGACTGATATCCGAACCTGTATCAATTAAAAGTTTTGCTGAACCAGCACTTGAAATGGATAGAGGTAATGTTACACAAGAGTTAGTAGACTGGCTTACTATCGTAAAAATTTTTGAGTCACTAGAAATATTGGACTTAGTAGATTGAGACGAATTAGTATTTGATTCAGGGACTGGAACTTGACTCTTTTTCGAGTTGAAAAACTTAGGAGATTGCAACGGATCATTTGAAACAGTGGAAACTGTAGCAATATGAGAATTTGTTTTTCCTAATGGGCATTCCTGATCTTGCGGACCTGAAATGCACTGCCCTTTGATGCATTCAGTCCGTGCTCGTTTCCCGACTGCTTATGAACGTTTGTAACTAAAGAAGAGCTACCTTGACCGACATTGAAATTTGCTGTCGCTTCCTTATTTTTCCTGCGAGAATTATTATACTGCCGCTTCCTGCAATCGTTAATTGTGTGACCTACATTTTTGCAATAGTTGCAAGTCGTTGCACTGACATTTCTGACATTAAATTCTTGTTTAATTCGATCGTCCGGTGATTTAGCAAAATTTAGAGAACTTTTCTTAGAATAACATTGACTGGCTTTATGGTTAGGCTTATTACAAATGTAACACCGAATATTTCCTTTATTGGATTTATCGCGAAAATTATTATTATATTGTTTTGCCTTGATTACGCGTTCTTCTTCACATGCTGCACTAATAGCATCCGAGAGTTTAGTGAATCTACTTGCTTCGATAATTAATCTTACAGGATCTTTCAGGCCTTCAACAAAGCTTTAAGAGCAGATTTTTGATTTAAATTACTGATTGTATTATAAGCAGCTTGACCTTCCGACGCTACACAAGCATCAGTCAGATCTAAAGTAAGTCTTTCTATGCGATTTGCAAATGTTAAAACATCTTCATTGTAGTACTGCTTTGAATTTATTAATTCTGCCTGAATCTGTGCAATGGTCCTTTTTTTCAAGTATTGCTGTTGCAAAATTATTTTTAATTGTTCCCAACTGTCAAAAACCTTATATTTAATGAGGTTATAGGCTGATCCACATAATTTTGATTTTATTACGTTCAGAAAGGTTTCTTTTTGTTCTCTTGTAGTAGCAGAAACTCCAACTATGTCGGAACAAGCAATAAATTTATGAAGATTCTCTTTATTTCCATTAAACTCGGGAATCATCTTTAGCGCGATATCAATTTGGAAAGCCATGTTTATTTAAGAATTTAACCCACAAAAATAACAATATGCGAAAAAAAAATGTGATAGAAAATGGAAAACTTACGGGAATAATTGTAACTTGGCGCTGATGAAGCACTGAACGACGAAGATGGTAACGCGCACTCACAGCGATTTGCACCACGTACACAGCACAACACACTCCCTGCTGCTCTTGGATCCTGGTGATGCTGCTTGTTGCTGCCACACCGTGTTGCTGCTTGTTGCTGCCACACCGTGTTGCTGCTGGATCCTGATGACGCTGGGCTGCTGTTGTTGAACCACGCTGCTCCTGGACCACTTGGTACGCTGGACTACCCAATTACTGCTGTTGTTGCTTAACCTTCAGAAGAAATGCTAACCACCTTTGAAATCGCCAAAGTAGCCAAAAGTGGGCACTCAACTACACCTAATGTTACTTTTGAATTCGCCGAAATAGCCAAAAGTAAACACTTGAAACACACCTGACACCACTGTTGCGCGTAGGGGTTGGCAATTCAAACAGATTGGGCAGTATACCAAATTTATTAGAAGAAAATGTCGCTGGTACGGGTGTTGGTTACAATTATCACTTGTCTGCTACAACTACAACTACTTCTTCAACTACAAATACAAATACAACTAACTTCTTCAGGTGCGAGCCAAAAGTTATATATTGACAACTATAGTCATGTGACCGGCCATAGTTGCGGAGTAATGACATGACCTCCTTAATTTTGATTGAGTTGATACTTAGCAATCGCGGAAAAGAAAATGCAACTCAGCTTGACTTCGGACTCGCTTCCTCCTAACTACGCTTGCACATGCTGCCGGAGCAACCCCAATTAAACAGGATATTTCACAACAGGACAAAGAAGTGAAGAGTGTGTTTACGGAGCAGGGGGCGGATCCCCCAGTTCCGGTCGGAGGTGTGGGTGGTAGCGCAGCCCCCCCCCCCCCCCCGATCGTCAGCCGACGACTGCGAGGTTCTTACGGTGGAAGACCAGGCCGGAGAACTGGATAAAGCTACTGGCGATGTGGATGTGGATGTGAATGTGAACGTGACATCAATAGATAACGGCACGGACGCAGAAGTCAATGGAGAGGAATGTAACCCAAGGGGAGATATGGGGGAAAAACAGGAAAGTGAAGCTTTCGAAGATTCGGATGAAACCGACATGAAACTGCAAAAAGAGGCCAAACACAGGCAAAGTACCCCTAAAGAAATGTCAAACCAACGAAATAGAAGTTTTTCAACTTCGGATATACCGACGGTATTTCTCGACCTCACCGCAGATGATGAAGAAGTGGCGAAAGACACCGAAACTCGAGGAGAGCAAAAGAACCAAATATGGTGGCAAGCGACCCCGAAGAGAAGGCTGGGAGAAACTGAAAAGCCCACAGAAACGGAAGACGAAGCCAAAAAATTACTTAAGGTTTTACATAAGACAGCAAATGAAATAAGTAAGCTAAGCCAAGTGGTAGCGAAAAACCCTAATACAAAGCGAGAAATAAAAACCATCTCCAGTGGACTTGTGAAGTCAGCATCACAGCTCCTAAATGAAAAACTAACGATCTGGTTAGCAGGAAAGGTAATTTCGCCTAAGAGTAAAAGACAAAAACAAGAAGAGTTCAGAAGCGAGGAGCGCATAAAGGAACTAGAGAACAAACTGAAAGAAGCAGAAGCGCGAGACAGGGAACGACAAGCAGAAATGGAAGAACTGAAAGAAATGATAAGCAAAATGAAAGAAGAACAAGAAATCAGTCCAACTTCAGCACAGACTTTTGAACTAAACGTAAATGAAGGTGGTGAGGCGAGAAAATGCGTCTTAAAGCAGAAACTGCAAGAGATGGAAGTGAGCGAGTTTACTGAAATCGAAAAAGACATGAGGTTTCTTGTCAAGGGTAACGAAGAACTGGGACGCCTCCTAGAGAAGGCGCCAAATACAAAAGAGGAAATGAAAAAGTCATAAGGAAAATTAATCGAAAGATAGAGATAGTACATAAAAAAATCCAAGAGTATAAGGAAGTAACAAAGCACAAGAAACCTAAAATTGAAAGAAATAAGCCGGAAACGAGATCCATAGAGATACAGGTAGATGACATAGACGAAAAGAAAAAGACAGCAGAAATAGAAATAGAAGAAAAAATCCAAAAGACACTAGAAAAAACAAATAGATCCTTCGAGGAACTAAAAAGCATTATTGACCTAAAATGGGAAGAACATATATTCGAAGCTACAAAAAGTGAACAGTAGGATCCCAATAGAGTAAACATGGAAGATGTAGACCTGGCGCTTCTGATTAACCCAAGGGACACTATAGTGCTACCAAAGTTCTATGATAGCGTCGCGTACGAAGTAAGACAAATGGTTGCAGAGGGATTGGTAGAAGGTCAAATAGAGTATATAAGGAAAGAGACCGAAGTAGTGGATAGTAGGAGTCGGCAAATGCGGCACAAAAAAAGTACGTATTTTATTCTGCCCTATACAATGGATGCCGCACAGATTACAGACATAGAAAAGCTCTACGACCTTGTCAGGAAATGGAGAGATGAAATGGTGGCGTTAGAAATGAAACGTATCACACTAGCACGCATGAGAGGGTATGTAAATGAGAGCTATCTCAAAAAGATTATAGAATACGTCTTCCGAGGGACAGAGATAGAAGTTACTATAATCACTAAGAAAGGAAATAAAAAAAGCACAGTGGGAGGAATAGAAAAAGATAAGGTTGAAAAACTGATTGTCAAAGAAGAAGGGCGTACGTTCACAGAAATCCTAAAGGGGGTTAAGAACAGAGTAAACCTCGAAGAAACTGGGGCAAAAATACATGCAATCAGGAAGACCAATAAAGGAGACCTGTTAATCGAGGTAGCGGGAGGCACAAAAAAACCCGCAGCACTAAGAGAGGCAATATTAAGAGAACAAAAAGACAAGGTAAAGATGATACAAAAAACAAACGACACAATGGTACACATCACAGGTATCGATGCGAGTACTGAAATGGAAGAAATAAGAAGAGCCGTCATGATAGAGTGCGGAAAAAACATAACAGAAGAAGAAATAAAAGTTATATCCATGCGTCCAACACGTATAGGAAACCAAACAGCGACGGTGGCACTTAGGAAAGATGCAGCAACAAACATCGTGAACAAGGGTAAAATGAAAGTGGGCTGGGTTGATTGTAGGGTGAGGCGTAGAGTAAACTTGACAAGATGTTTTAGATGCTTAAGTTTTGGGCATAGAAGAGACCAGTGTGTCGGAGAAGATAGGTCAAAACAATGCCTAAACTGCGGCAAAGAAAACCACGAAGCAAGTGAATGCACGAATCCGCCTTATTGTATAGAATGTAAAAAAGAGGGACATAGACAAGATCAGACGAAATGTCCTTACTTTAGAAAACTGATCAGAGAAAAAAACCGAGCACTTTCAGTTGCGGACAGTGTGTTCGGAGATCAAAATGACTAAAGTATTACAAACAAATGTAGGCAGGTCTAGGGCGGCGCATGACCTGGCCGATATAGTAGCCGCAAAAACAAAAATGAGAACAATGAAAGTATTACAAATAAATCTGAACCGAAGACCTAGGTCTCATGACCTCATGGAGGCAAAATCACTAGAATTAGGCGTGGACATCATAATAGCTAGTGAACCCAACATGAATCTTATCAGAAACGACGAAAGCTGGATGAAAGACAAGTTACTCAATACTGGAATCAAGATAAGAAATAGAGAACTCAGCTTGGGAGTAACTGAAAGCCGGGAAGGAGTGGTCATGGCCGAGATAAACAAAATTAAATTCTATAGTGTTTATATACCACGTAACGACCCAATGGAAAATACGGAGAGAATTCTGGGTGAAATAAATGACGTTCTCGGCCAAAGACCGAAGAGAAGCCTCATCGCAGGGGACTTCAACGGGAAATCTGCCGAGTGGGGGGAAAAGAGAACTGATCGCAGAGGCTGCATTGTGGCCGAGTGGATAGCTAGCAAGAACCTAACCGTTTATAACGAAGGAGAAAAGCCAACTGTCATGAGATGGAATGGATCGTCCATAGCCGACATCACAGTAGGAACTGAAGATTTGAAAGACCAAGTGAGGAAGTGGGCTGTGTTAGATGATGAAACGCTCAGCGATCATACGTTCCTGTATTATGAGGTTGCCCAACAGGCCGTTCCCGCCGCTGGGAAAGAACCAACAGCAAACAGGTGGAACTTGCAGAAAATGAACCCAGATAAGACGCGAAATGCCATAAAAAGGAAACTAGATCAAACCGACGAAAAGACACCGGGAGCGTGTATGCAAGCTATTACAGAGGCGTGCAACGAAACCATTCCAAAAAAGAGAGGGGGAAGAACGAGGAGACAAACCTACTGGTGGAATAACGATATTGCGGAAAAATGGAAGGCATCTACCAGGGCTAGAAGGGTTCTTCTGAGAGCTAGGAAACATAATGGAGCACAACCTGCCCTACAGGAAGACTATAGAGGAAAAAACAAGTCCCTGCAACTAGCTATTAAGGACAGCAAAGAGAAGAAGTGGAAGGAACTTATGGAAGAAGTCGACAGAGACGTATGGGGGGACGGCTACAGAATAGTATGCAAGAAGCTCAGAAAACCGGCAACAAAGATAAATGAGGAGATAAGAGCTGAGGTGATAAATGAATTGTTTCCAACGCGCAGCATACAAAAATGGCCAATAAGAACAGAGGTGGTGACCCCGACGATTAGTGAGATAGAAGCACAACAAGCCGCCGGAAGAATGAGGAACAAGAAGGCGCCAGGACCTGACGGGATACCCTCGGAGATACCTAAAATGACAGTGGAAGTGTGTCCTAAATACGTGACCGAAATGATGAACGAGTGGTGAAGGGGGAATTCCCGAAGGAGTGGAAAAGGGCCAATAATGGAAACTAATCGCTGACTACGTGGACGACACTATGCAAAGGAGAGAGGAAGAAGAAAGACGACGACATACCCAACATTAAAAAAAAAAAAATGAGAAAGCCCCCGCTTGAGCCTGAAGTGATGCTAGCGCGATTCCAGGTTGAAGCGGAGAGGAGAAGAGGAAGATGATGGCAGAAAAAAGGCGACAACACCGGCCGAGCCCGTACAATGTACGGGTAAATAATACCCGGACCCAAAGTAATTTGGACCCGATGTAGTGTACCCTTAAAATAGGGCTAACTCTGCCATCCAAAAAAGAGTAGGTCAGGTCAGGTCAGGTCAGGTCTCGGGGGAGAAGCCAAACTCCTACCGGGCGCGTCCCCCACGTGGCGGATAGGGGAATGCCCTCACCGGCTAGCCGGCGGGTAGTGGTGAAATAAAATAGCCACCGCGGACCAAATAGAGCAACGGAGGAGACAACCTCCAGGAATAAAAAACAAGACAACAACTCTGGCGCGTACAAGGACATGGCTCGGGTTATAGTTAGTGAGTATGGGTGGCTCTTGGTACAAAGCTCCCTCACCACGTCAAGGTGGCCACCCATCGAGGGAGGACTAACGTACTGACATTGGCAATGGACCGGACAACGATTTGGGTGAATGAACGGGAGGCGGGCGGTGGAGCGTAGCCGCCCGGACACACACCGTAATCGTGGCCTGCCCTCAGCAACCTCCGTTGAGCGCGGCGGGGGTATGTTGGCAGGGACCCACGACCGGGGAGCTTGCCTTAACCGGCCGGCTCGCGAGGAGACAAACCTCTATAAAAAACCGACAGCGAAGTCGTTAAAACCTGTGGGGCACCAGGCGCACCCCACAGTATAAATGCCTTCTCCCCGGTATGGGACCACTGCCGGGGGGTGACCGATATATGTGCCCAACTCGTGGGACAAAATATGGGAGATACAAACAAAACAATTGGAACGCCAAGAAACAGTATAGGAGGAAGAATTTACTCAGTTTCTGCAATTGAGCAGTTACGAAGGTCAAATTCATGTAGCACGCCGGAAGATGACAGAAAAAGGAAAAGAGGAGAAACGACTCCGCATAAGGAGGAAATACTCAAGAAAAAGGAGAACCCCACGGCGTTTGTACTATTGGAGACGCTCAATATGATCAAAAAACATATCGAGGACCTAAGCAAAAAAATTGAAGAAAACCCAAACACGAAAAGAGAAATAAAAGACATAGCACTTGCACTGAGAAAACAAAAAGCGGTTCTTTTAAGGGACACTACAAGAGAGTGGTTAGAAGAACATAGATGGGAAGTATTTGAAATGCCTAAATATGACGTGGAGAGCCAAACAGAAGAAGCCGAAAGTTCCAAATTAGAACAGCAAATAAATGCACTAGAGGCAAAGATTGCGGAAATGGCAGAAGAGAAAGAAGTTATAAGGAAGGAATTAGAAGAGGCAAAACAAAAAATAGAAACCCTGCAAAATCATGAAAACAGAACCGACTCAGTAAGTAGTGTAAAGGGCATAAACACCTACGAAGGCTGGAAATTAATAGAGAGGCACAGATGGGATGATAATATATACATCAGGTCAGAGATAAAAGTTGGTAATCCATTAGAGACCAAAGACAGTGTGGTGAAAGTAGTAATTGTGGAACCCGAGGACCTAGAAAGGAATATAAGTATTCAAAAGATATACCGGGACAGATTTCCAGAACTAATGAGCGTGGACGAAGACTTCGAGGTTCTCGAACAAATAACCAGGACGCGTACGAAGGAGAGGGGAGAGTTAGCGCAAAGAAAAATTATTAAAGTGACCTATGACGGCACGGAACAAAATTTATGGGACCAGTTACAAAAAGTTAAAGATGAGACAGCAGCAAATGAATGGGTGGCGCTCCACCATGTTAAAAACATGACGGTACAGAATATGCGGAAAATGGTGGAATGCGTCTTCCAAGAGACGGAGACCAAGGTATGTATCTATACTACAAAACAAACGGTCGCCCCTGAGAAAATCAGGGAGAGGAAAACATACGGGCTGGTGGTAGAGCAAAAGGGGAAGGACTTTGTAAACACAATAGCTAATGTCAAAGCGGCAATAAACACAAATAGAGCGGGAGATAGCATTAAAAGCTTGAAGAGCACAAAAGACGGGAAACTATTGATTATAACCGAGAAAAATGATGAAGCGATAAGCGAAATTAGGCACCTAATAAATCAACTGCCTGAAAAAGTCAACATTAAGACGGTAGGGAAGATGTCGACGAAGGGAACAAGCTACCGTATAAGAGTAATGGATGCGACCACAGAAAAGGAAGAAGTGATCGAAAGTCTCGAGCGGACACTAGGCAAAAAGCATGGGGTTGGATTTAGAATCGGAGATCTGAGACCGAACACAGGGAATACGAAAGCTGCTACTGTAATGATAAACGACAAGGAGGACGAGAGCAAGATGGAAAAGGGAATAATCAGGATAGGATTAGTTTCATGTCAGGTGGAACAAACAGTCGAGGTCAGGAGATGCTATAAATGCTGGACATATGACCATACGGAGAACATCTGCGAAGGACCGGACAGGAGAAACCTGTGTTACAGATGTGGAAAGGCAGGTCACTCGCTTAAGGAATGCCAGAATGAAGAAGAGTGTCCGATCTGTAACAAGACGGGACACAAGGCGGGCAGTGGGAAGTGTACGCTATTTAAACGGGCCCTGTCACGTGCCAAGGAAAACATACGCAGTGAGAGGCAAGAGCAGAAGTGTCAGCATAGACAGGAGAGAGAACAAAGAACGGAGTCGATGGAAATAAACGCGTCGGGGGAGCGGGACAGCAAGTCTAACTAACACACACACCAAAAAAAAAAAAAAAAGCCACAGTATGAATGATAGGGAGAGAAAGGAAACGATAGTGCTGCAGACGAATGTACAAAGAAAGGGAGTGGCGATGGATGTGATGTGGAAAACGGTGCAAGAAGAAGGAGTGAATGTGCTAGTAGTGTCTGAGCCAAATAAAAAGAGAGTGAAAGGGGTAGAGTGGATGACAGATGTGAGAGAAGATGTAGCGGTGAGAGTGTGTGGACGGCATGAAAAGGGAGAGATGTTTGGGAAGGGCGAAGGTTTTGTATGGATCAAGTTTAGTGACTGGGTATTGTATGGATGTTACATATCTCCCAATACTGGTATTGGGAGATATCGAAAGTTCCTGGATGATCTGGGTGAAAGTGTGAATACATGGGAGGGGGAGGTGGTGGTCGCAGGGGACTTCAATGCGAAGTCACCCCTGTGGGGCTCCCCCATAATAAATGACGTGAGAGGAAGCTTGCTCGAGGATTGGATGGCTGAGAGGTGCATGGTTTGTCACAATTGCGGAAATGCCCCCACCTTCCTGCGAGGTGCTCAGAAGTCACATATTGACCTGACCCTCAGCACGGAAGGGGTGGCTAGAAGAATGAAAGAATGGAGAGTGCTAGAGCACGAGAATCTGAGCGATCACCAGGACATAGTATGGGTGTTGGGTAAGACAGGAGAGTGTATGAGAGGTGAGGACAGAACGAAGGACATGGGATGGAGCGTAGCGGAAGATAAGATGGAAAGACTGGCTGAGGTGATGAAGGAAAGAGTAAAGACGATGGATGAACGTAAAGACCTAGTGTATGAGACGAAGAGAGTACTAGAGGAAATGTGTGACAGGGTTTTAAAAAAAAAGGGATGTATGGGAAAGAGGAAAGGAGTGTATTGGTGGACGGATGAGATAGCAGAAAAGAGAAGAGAATGTTTGAGGAAGAGAAGGAAATGGATGAGGTGCTATAAAAAGGGAGGCAATACAGAAATAATAATGGAGAAAGGGAAAGAATACAAACAAACAAAAAAAAGAATTGAAGATAATGATCAACATATCGAAGGAAAATGCGTGGAAGAGAGTGTGTGAAGAAGTAGACAGGAATGTATGGGGAGAAGGATATAAGATTGTGACGAAGTGAATGGGAAGAGGAATGAAAGGTATCGCGTGCGGAGAGAACGTAATGGAGGAGGCTCGCAAGCTCTTTCCAGAGCACGAGCCTCTAGTGTGGAAAAATCTGGTGGTGGACGGGCAGGTGCCGGCCTTCACTCTCGCCGAGCTGCATGAGGCGGCCGGGAGGTTGAGGAAGGGAAAGGCGCCTGGCCCGGACAAAATACCACCAGAGGTGTGTAAGATTTACGCGAGAGAATGTGAAAAAGAATGTCTGGAGATGATGAATAAGTGCTTGGAGAAGGGGCTAGTTCCCAAGGAATGGAAGGTGGCGAGACTGGTGATGATAGAAAAGGAAAGAAAGGAAGGAGAGAAAGTGACATATAGGCCCATCTGCCTGTTGAATGGGATGGGCAAGCTGTATGAGGGAATGTTGGCCGAGAGACTGAGGAACGACGTTCGGAGGCTCGGCGATCTGGCGGAGACACAGTATGGGTTCAGGGCGGGCCGATCTACGATCGACGCCATGATGGATGCACGGGAGTACGCTAGAGGAGCGAACGTGGGGACATGGGGTACCCGGCGGTTCTGTGTGATGGTGACTGTGGACGTCCGGAACGCCTTCAATACGGTATCGTGGAGAGGGATACTGGATCGTCTTGTAAGCATGGGGGTGGAACCGTACCTCGTGAACGTGGTGCGGTCCTATCTGAGCGAAAGAGTGGTTCAAACGGAGATGGGCGAATTTAAAATGACTGCCGGGGTTCCGCAGGGGTCGGTTCTGGGGCCGCTCCTGTGGAACATATTTTACGATGAGGTCTTAAGAATGGAGGTACCTGATGGGGTAAAGCTCATCGGGTACGCGGATGATCTGGCGGTGATTGCGATAGGTAAGAATGAAGAGGACTTGAGAGAAAGGACCGAAGAAGCACTGCGGCTCGTGGGTGCATGGATGAGGGACAACGGTCTCTCACTTGCACCCGAGAAGAGCGAAGCGGTGCTCTTGGTAGGGCGGAGAACGATACGTGGAATGAGTGTGTGCATGGAAGGTAGAGCGATAGAGACCCGGGAAGCGGTGAGGTACCTTGGGGTGGATTTTCAAAGAAACCTCAGGGTGGCCGAGCAAGTGGAACGGGTGGTACGGAAGGCTAAGTTGGTTGTGGGTGCCCTGGGCCGACTGCTACCCAATGTAGGAGGACCCAGGGCGAGAAAAGGAGAGTGTTGTGCAGTGTCGTTCATGGGATGCTGTTGTATGGGGCGGAGGCATGGATCGATGGGTACCGCATACAGAAGTATCGACGGATGCTTCTGGGTGCCCAGAGAAATATGCTTCTGCGAGTATGTTGTGCGTATCGCACGGTGTCCGGGGAGGCACTGTGCGTGCTGGTTGGGGTCCCTCCGTTGGATCTACTGGCGGAGGAACGTCTTCGCGAATGGAAGAGGAGAAAAGATGAAAGGGAGAAGGAGGCGACTTCGGCCCCCTCAGCGGCGTGCAAGAGGAAAGCGAGAGAGGACCTGATGAGAGTGTGGAGTGAAAGGTGGAGGCAGACGGAGAAGGCCGCCTGGACGAGGCGGCTAATCCCGAACCTCACTGAATGGGTCGACAGGGGGCACGGGGAGGTTAACCACTACACCTCCCAAGTGCTCATTGGTCATGGGAGTTTTGGGGCCTATCTGAAAAGGATAGGCAAGATTGAATGCTCAGCTTGCTGGTATTGCGAGGAAGGAGTGGAAGATGTAGAGCATGCGATTTTTGATTGTCACAGATGGACGAGAGAGAGAGAAGAATGTGAAGTAGAATTGGGCATGAGGGTGAATGTTGATAACATGATTGAGAAGATGTTGGAGAGTGAAGAAGGATGGAAGGTAATAGAACGGATGTCAGTTACAGTAATGAAAGCGAAATGTGATTATGAGAGAGAGAGAGAAAGGAGACAGGAAGTGAGAGATGATTGAATGAAAAAAAAAAGACGAAAGAGGACTAGCATCACTAAGAGACACAGATAAAAAAAAATAGACAAACCGGAAGAAACTGTCCAAAAAAAAAACAATACGACAGATCGGATCGTGATAATATATATATATATATATAAAAAAAGAGGGGAGACAGAAGAAGAAGACAGGAAAGGATAACAAGATAAGAAGAAGAAGAAGAAGAAGAAGCTACGACCAACCACCCCCCTGAAGTAATGCTAACGCGGTTTCGGGGGGGTAGGAGAACACCTGGTCGAGGAAGGGGTTTTAGCCAGTAAGAGTGCAGGCACTACCAGAGACGATCGAACCTAAGTCTCTGGTGCCCATGAGGGTTTCCCCTTCCATAAAAAAAAAGGTCAGGTCAGGTCAGGTCCCAGGGGAGAAGCCAAACTCCTACTGGGCGCGTCCCCCGGGTGGGAAATAAAATAGCTGTCGCGGAGACAACCTCCAGGAATAAAAAACGCAGACGAAGACCCCAGCTATGAACATGGACATGATTTCGGTTTTTAGGTAGTAAGTATGTGCCACTCTTTGTAAAAAGCCCCCTCACCACGACAAGGTGGCGGCACATCGAGGGGGGACTAGCGTAACAGACACGGCATGGACACGGACTTGACTTAGCTTCACGACCCGAACGCGGGTGGTGGAGCGTAGCCACCCGGACACACACCGTAACCAAGGCCCACACTCAACAACCGCCGTTGAGCGCGGCAGTGGTACGTCTGTGGGGACCCTTGGCCGGGGGGCTTGCCTTAATCGGCCGGCTCGCGTGGAGACAACCTCTATAAAAGGACCGACAGCGAAGTCGTAAAAACCTGCAGGGCACCAGGCGCACCTTGCAGTATCAATGCCTTCCCCTCGGTATGAGACCACTGCCGAGGGGTAACTCCGATTGGTACCCCAGACGTGGGAACAAAAATAGATAAACTTACACATACAAAGAAAAATGATGAGGGGAAAGAGGTCGAGAGTTTCAACTCTGGTATAAGCGAAATAAAGGAGACAAGCAGGGATGAAGACCCTTTTAAAAGGAGGGAATCACTATCGAGAACACCTCCCGAGAAAGAAGGGCAAAAAGTGTCCAGCTTGAGAACCAACTGGGAACCATGGAGCCTTGTTAGACCAAGAGCAAATACGACCGTGAGTGAAATAGAGAAGGGAGCGAAGAGGAAGGCGACCGAATCACCGGAAAATAAGGAACATAAAATAGGTAGAGATGCAAATCTACTAAAGAGACGACATGCTGAAGCCGAAGAGAGGCTAAGCAAAGAATTAGAGGTGTTAGGTAATATCATTCAAGAAAACAGGAAGGTTCATATACCTGTAAAAAAAAGTATCGAAATCATACAAAGGAGCTATAAAAAATTAATAGAAATCATTAGAGTAAAAGAGGAAGAAGAAGATGAAAAAGAAAAAGAGTGGCAAAAAAAATAAACACCCTGAAGGGGACAGTAAAACAGATAGAAGAACAAAGTAATATAACAAAGGAAAAGTTGGAAGAAAAAATAGCAGCTGTGCATGAAGAAAAAGACTTGTTAATGGAAAAACTAAGAAAAGCGGAGAAAAAGGCAGACAGAGGTGCTCAAAAAATGAACGTTACAAAGCAAGAAATATCAGCAGCGGACAATAGAGAAAAATTTGATAAAATCAAAAATAATGTATGGGAACAAAGTGTTTTCGAAAACGTAGAGATAGTTGTGGGAAACCCATTGAGCGAAACCAAGAGTGAGTGCATGATTGTCATAGCAGAACCGAGAGATCCGGATATGAACCGAAGTATTCAAAAAACGTACAGGGATAGTTATCCAGAAATGGCAGAAATGAGAAACAACTTTGAAATTATAGAGAAAACGATCAAAACAAGAAACATAAAGAACAAGGACGAAGTGAGAGAAATAACTCGGGAGATAATTAAAATAAAGGCGACAGATACAAAGGATCACCTATGGGACCTATTAAAAAGAGTCAGAATACACGAATGAAAAAAAAATAGAAAACATAGTGACACATAAGATCGCAGAAATAGAAGGAGAAGAACTGAGAAAGATGATGCAGTGTATATTCATGCGGACACAAACAAAAATAAAAATGTATGTACCGAAAAGCCTCCAAACAGAAACGGTAAAGAGACAGCTCAAAGATACGAATTCGTACGCGATAGTGGTCGATAAAAAAGGAGTGGATTACAATACCCTCTTAAAAGAGGTAAAAGCTACACTAGAGGAAAAGGAAGATAGAAAAGCCATTAGAACGGTGAGGAGCACGAGAGATGGGAAAATGCCGATTATAACAGATAAAGACCAGGAAAAGGAACAAAACACAAGAAAAACAATTATGGAAAATATTGAAGAAGCAAACGTGAGAAAAATAACAAACATAAATAGGAACAGCAAAACACTATTTATAAGGAATTTAGACGCAACAACTAATAAAGAAGAAGTAAAACGGGCAATCAGGAGAGAATTGGGAGATAGAGGAGGAATAGAGATGAAAGTAGGCGAAGTGAGACCAACGAGAAATAGCACACAAACAATCACGATAATGATAGATAAAGACAATGCGGAAACCTTGACCAGGAAAGAATTCGTGATAATAGGGATAGTAAAAGGTAAAATCGAAGAACGTGTGCAGATGCAGCGATGTTACCGGTGCTGGGCTTACGGACATACAGTGAGTGGTTGTGTAGAAGAAATCGATAGAAGAAATACATGCTATAAATGTGGGAAAGAAGGTCATCAAGCCGGGCAATGTAACAATGAGGCAAAATGTCCACTTTGCGAGAAAGAAGGGCACACAGCGGGCAGTTCAGCATGTAAGATGTTTAGAACAGCATTAAAAGAAGCTAAGAGAAGAGCGGAAACTCCGCAAAACCTAAACTGTAACGGCGCAAATAAACAAAATACCGCTCACTGTTAAAAGAAAAAAAAAGGCACAATATGAATGGTAGGGAGAGTAAGGAGACGATAGTGTTGCAGGTGAATGTACAAAGAAAGGGAGTGGCGATGGATGTGATGTGGAAGACGGTGCAAGAGGAAGGAGTGAATGTATTAGTTCTGTTTGAACCAAATAAAAAGAGAGTGAAAGGAGTAGAATGGATGACGGATGTGGGACAAGATGTAGCAGTGAGAGTGTGCGGATGACATCAAAAGGGAGAGATGTTTGGGAAGTGTGAAGGTTTTGTGTTGATCAAGTTTAGTGAATAGCTACTGTATGGATGCTATATATCTCCTAATACTGGTATTGGGAGATATAGGAAGTTCCTGGATGATCTAACTGAAAGTGTGAGCAAATGGGAGGGGGACGTGGTGGTCGCAGGAGACTTCATTGCGAAGTCACCCCTGTGGGGCTCTCCCATAACGAATGATCTGAGAGGTAGTTTGCTTGAGGATTGGATGTCAGAGAGGTGCATGGTATGTCATAACTGCGGAAATGCCCCCACCTTCCTGCGAGGTGCTCAGAAGTCGCACATCGACCTGACCCTCAGCACGGAAGGGGTGGCTAGAAGAATGAAAGAGTGGAGAGTGCTAGAACAGGAGAATCTGAGCGATCACCAGGACATAGTATGGGTACTGGGTACGACAGGAGAGTGTGAGAGAGGTGAGGACAGAATGAAGGAACGGGGATGGAGTGTGGCAGAAGAGAAGATGGAAAGACTGGCTGAGGTGATGAAGGAGAGGGTGAAGACAATTGATAAACGTAAGGATCTGGTGTGTGAGACGAAGAGTGCAAGAGGAAAAGTGCGATAGGGTTTTAAAAAAAAGGGATGCATGGAGAAAAGAAAAGGAGTGTATTGGTGGACGGAAGAGATTGCGGATAAAAGGAAGGAATGCTTGAGAAAGAGAAGGGAGTGGATGAGGTGACAGAAAAAGAGAAGAGATACCCAACTGTCGGCGGAAAAAGCAAAGGAATACAAACGAAACAAAAAAGAACTGACAGTGTTGATAAAAAGATCAAAGGAAAAAGAGTGGAAGAGAGTGTGCGAGGAAATAGATAGGAATGTGTGGGGAGATGAATACAATATAGTAACTAAATGGATGGGAAAAGGAATGAGCGGTACTGCGTGTGGTGAAAATGTAATGGAGGAGGCCCGTAAGCTCTTTCCCGAGCACGGGCCTCTAGAGTGGCCGGATCTGGTGGTGGACGTACAGGTGCCAGCCTTCTCCCCCGAAGAGCTGCAGGAGGCGGCCGGGAGGTTGAGGAAGGGCAAGGCGCCGGGTCCGGATAAGATACCACCAGAGGTATGTAAGACATATGCCAAAGAATGTGGAAAAGAATGTCTGGAGGTCATGAATAGATGTCTGGAGAAAGGGGTTGTTCCCAAAGAATGGAAGGTGGCGAGACTGGTGCTGATAGAGAAAGAAAGAAAGGAAGAAGAGAATGCGAAATATAGGCCCATCTGTCTGCTGAACGGGATGGGCAAGCTGTACGAGGGAATGTTGGCTGCGAGACTGAGGAACGACGTTCGGAGGCTCGGTGGTCTGGCGGAGACGCAGTATGGATTTAGGGCGGGACGATCGACGCCATGATGGATGCAAGGGAGTACGCTAGAAGAGCAAACTGGGGTACTCGGCAGTTTTGTGTGATGGTGACTGTGGACGTCCGGAATGCCTTCAACACGGTATCGTGGAGGGGTATTATTCTGGAACGTCTGGTAAGTATGGGGGTGGAGCCGTACCTCGTGAACGTGGTGCGGTCCTACCTGAGCAATAGAGTGGTTCAAACGGAGATGGGTGAATTTGAAATGACTGCCGGGGTTCCGCAGGGGTCGGTATTGAGGCCGCTCCTGTGGAACATATTTTATGACGAGGTTTTAAGAATGGAGGTACCCGATGGGGTAAAGCTCATCGGGTACGCGGATGATTTAGCTGAGATTGTGAGAGGTAAGAGTGAAGAGGACCTGAGAGAAAGGACCAAAGAAGTACTGCGGCTCGTGGGTGCATGGATGGGGGACAACGGTCTCTCACTTGCACCCGATAAGAGCGAAGCGGTGCTCTTGGTAGGGCGGAGAACGATACGTGGAATGAGTGTGTGTATGGAAGGTAGAGCGATAGAGGCCCGGGAAGCGGTGAGGTACCTTGGGGTGGAATTCCAACGAAACCTCAGTGTGGCCGAGCAAGTGGAACGGGTGGTACGGAAGGCTAAGTTGGTTGTGGCTGCCCTGGACCGACTACTATCCAGAGAGGACCCAGGGCGAGCAAAATGAGAGTGTTGGGCAGTGTCGTTCATGGGATTTTGTTGTATGGGGCGGAGGTGTGGATCGATGGATACCGCATACAGAAGTATCGACAGCGTGCTGGCTGGGGTCCCTCCGCTGGATCTGCTGGCGGAAGAGCGTCTTCAGGAATGGAAGAGGAGGAAGAACGAAAGGGTGAAGGAGTCGAGTTCGGGTCCCTCAGTGGCATGTAAAAGGGAGGCGAGAAAGGATCTGATGCAAGCGTGGTGCGAAAGGTGGAGGCAGACGGAGAAGGCCGCCTGGACAAGGCGGCTAATCCCGAACCTCACTGAATGGGTCGGCAGGGGGCACGGGGATGTTAACCACTACACCGCCCAAGTGCTCACTGGCCACGGAAGTTTTGGGGCCTATCTGAAAAGGATAGGCAAGATTGAATGTTCAGATTGCTGGTATTGCGAGGAAGGAGTGGAAGAAGATGTAGAGCATGCGATTTTTGATTGTCACAGATGGACGAGAGTGAGAGAAGAATGCGAAGTTGAATTGGGCATGAGGGTGAATGTTGATAATATGGTTGAGAAGATGTTGGAGAGTGAAGAAGGATGGAAGGTAATAGAACGGATGTTAGTTACAGTAATGAAAGCGAAATGTGAGTATGAGAGAGAGAGAGAGAGAAAGGAGAGAGATGATTGAATGAGAAAAAAAAAGAAAGAAAGACGAAAGAGGACCCTAGCATCATTAAGAAAGAGACACAGATAAAAAAAAAGAAGAGAACAAATCGGAAAAAAAACATGACATCTAATCGTGATAATATAATATAAAAAAGAGGGCAGAAGAAAACAGGAAAGGATAAGAAGAAGAAGAAGCTACGACCAACCACCCCCCTGAAGTAATGCTAACGCGGGTCCGGGGGGGTAGGAGAACAGCTGGTCGAGAAAGGGTTTTTAGTCGGTAAAAGTCTGACACTACCAGAGACGATCGAACTTAAGTCTCTGGTGCCCATGAGAGTTTCCCCTTTCACACAAAAAAAAAAAGGTCAGGTCAGGTCCCTGGGGTGGCTAACTACCAGGCGCGTCCCCCGGGTGGCGGATAGGCGAACGGCCAGTTTTGTATATAAGCAGGGTGAGAGGAAGTAATATTCCTCGATATCCCTGTGAAATGCTTCGCCGCGGACCACCCCCAGTCATCACCCTGTATGGCTGGTTCTTTTTCTTCTCAGTTGCTTTCTTCCCTCTTCAATGTGCAGCTGACTTTAAACCTAACTGTCGGCCCCTCTTGGCCAACTTTTGTTTTTCGATTCCGAAGGCTAGGGGTCTTTAATCTCTGTTCTTTTATCTTACTCCCGTATCGATATTCGTTGACGACCCGGCGAGAAGATGGACCACTCTAACAGGGAGAAAACCCTGCCAGAAAACAGAAAAAATTATGATGGAACAACACCACGAAACGGATTTTACGGAGCAGGGACTCGGAACCCCAGTTCCGGTCGGGAGTGAAGTGCCTGAGCAGGCTTCGCCCGACCGTCATCCAGCGTCTGCTCAACAGCCAACACAGGAGGTGATCTCTCAGGCCTCTGGGTTGGTAAATGCTACTGGGAGTACAAGCACGCCACGTAAGAAAATTCTTTGCAAAGTTACGACTTCTCCTCCAGAGGTATGGGGTGGAACACCAACAAGAGTCTCCATAGGAAGTTTGGAAGGCAGGGGCAGGGAACCACTTACACCAAGCAATGTTAGCTACGTGGATCTGACATGGGATGAAGATTCAAAACGTAGTAAATCAGTTAAAAGACCGAGGACTGATGAGGATAGTCCCCAAGTGGAGAGAGTAGCGGTGGTAGGATCTAGTGTTGCTAAACAGGAGAAAATTCTTTCTCTTTTTAGAAAACTAGATAAAAATATAAAAAAACCTAAAGAAGGTGGTGGAAAGTAACAGAAACACGAAAGTTGAGATCAAAGATATTACTCAACAGATAGCTAGCGTAATGAGTCAGTTAAATACGGATGATATCCAATCCTTGATTCAGCAAAAAAGTTCTGTTGAAACTACACATGTGTTGAGCCAGGAAACTACGAATTTCTCCAAAAAACCTACAAGAGAATGTGGTACCCAACACAATGTGGAAGATACAGATGTGGAAGCCATAATCCGCAGAGAAAGGATATGCAAGGCAATAGACATGGGATCCGACGACGAGGAGACGCGGGAAGTGATAAATTTAAAATGGGATGAAGAGCTTTTTACTGTATCTTTAATTGTAAATGAGGATATCCCTATAGAAGACGACGTAATTGTGATTATAGATAAGGATAAGAAAGATAGGGACGGAAGGATGAAGAAAATCATGGAAAAGTTTCCACAAATTCAAGACGAAATTGAGGATGGAGCACTGACCACTGGAAAGGTAACAAGCTGCATCTCGAAGTCTGGAAGAATATCGGAGGATGGTTCAATCGTGTATGGAAATGAAAAATTCATACACATTATAGCATGGCATGATAGCCAAAAAAACATCCACGAAATAAGAGCCTCGCTCCAGAAGGTAGGTTCATTGGTAAGAAATAAGGGAAGAGGTAATATTGGATACATGGTTGAAAACCCGCGAAATGAGGTAACCATTAGAAAGATGGTGGAACTTACTTTTAGGAGGGAAGGGCCACACACGAAATTTTATTGTAGACCAAGAGGGAGGCTTAAAAGCAGATCCGACCCTGGTTCTGAAGACATCGATCCAGCACGATCACGCAGCCGAAACGATAGGACGGAAATGGTGATAGTGAGGTCTACAGGAACGATGACCTACGCCCAAATCATACAGAGTATGAAAAAGGATGTAGAAATGAAGGAGGTCAGGGTGGACAGTATAATGAAAAATGAAAAAGGGGAAGTAATACTTAAAGTTAAAGGTGGAAAACAGGTCAATAGGGAAGGGTTTAGAGAGGACCTCAAAAATAAAATGAGGGGTAAGGCGGAAGTTGCCGATAAGCAGAGGAAGCGTACGATAATGTTGGAAGATCTGGATCCCACAGTGACAGAGATAGAGGTAGAGAAAGTTCTAGCAGAGGAACTGGTAGAAAGATTTTCGGCGGAAGATACAAATATAAGAATTTTAAACAAGGAAAACCGATCAGGAAGTAAATGTGCCTTTGTGACTATGGGAGAAACAGAAGCAATATGTTTAGCCAGTAAAAAGAAAATAGGCTCAGGGTGGCTGAGGTGGCGGGTAAAAAAACTGGTTACCCCCCCAAAATGCTCTAAGTGTAAGAGAGTTGGTCATGAAATGAAAACATACGATAGCACAAACCCGAGTAAGACTTGCCACAATTGCGGTAGTTTAGAACATATGACAAAGGATTGTAGCAATGCAGCAAATTGCTATCTTTGCAACAAGGAAGGGCATAGGGCGGAAACAATGACCTGTCCTATATACAAAGATATGGTGAGGAGGATGAAAGTCCGAAAACAAGGTCTAACTCCAAATCAAGAAGATAATCAAAATGACCTAAATGCTGCAAAAAACGAAGAGAGGGCGGGACAATAACTGCCTTGCCCCCTCTTAATAGGTCCATCAAAACATATGACGAGGAGAGGGGGAGAAATAAAAAAGAAACCGAGTGCAATGTGACACAGATAAACGCAACAAATCAAATCCGAACATTGCAAATCAATATAGACCGTATAAAAAGTGCGCATGATCTGGCACTATCAAAGGCGGCAGAGGTACATGCAGATATAGTAGCGCTCTGTGAACCAAATTGCAAACAAATACAAAATAGAGGGTGGATAACAGATATCAGAGGGGACGTGGCAGTATTACTCCGCAACAGGAATGTAATTGTTTCAAGCATCAAAAGAGAACAGGGATATGTAATGGTTAATATAAATGGCTATTCACTATTCTGTTGCTACTTCTCTCCTAATAGGCCAATAAAGGAATTTAGAAACTACGTGCAGACTCTGAGCAGGGACCTCCAAAGAAATTTATTTATTTATTAATTAATTAATTAATTAATTTATTTAATACAAAGTAATCCCACAGGCATTAGCCCAATTATTGGATTACATCACTAATAGGTAGGTAAACAGTAATAGTAATAATAACGATGAACAGCGTAAAATAGATAGTAAATCCTCAATTAAAATTCCATAGTTTCAAAGATAAGCTTAATCTGACTAATGCTAGTAAAAAAATGTCGATTTTGTGACCAATAAAGGAGTAGTTCCTAACAGCCTGATAAAGAGGGGAGGCCTTCATGATGTTAGTTCTCGGTGTTGCGATTTCAAATAGATTAGTATTCCGAAAACGTGCTGTTACTGTCCGAAATTTTAACATACTCAGTAACTGTAGGCAATCTA